TATTCCAAGTGAATTCATTTGAAACATACTTCACAGACAGTATCCCCTACCCTACAGCCGGCTCAAGAGCCGATCCCCAAACGCCAGGCTTTGCGATGCATATATCATGAGTGACCAGCCAGATCTATGAACAGCGCAGCAAGGCGGTCGGATTAGTTGCTGCTCGTCGCCCTTGGTTTCTTTCAGGCGCCGGTTCGCCCACATGTCTTGACACCCCATAGGCCCCTGCCGGCGCTGACTCCCAGCCACTCTCCCTGGTCGCTAGAAAGATGAGGCACCCAAGCAAGGTTGCCGACTTCGTAGTCGCATTGCCAGCTAGCGTATGGGCTTCTCGTGTTGTCTGGCTGGGCAGCACCGTTGGCAGGAGGACCACCACCAAGAGCAGGGTTGTTGTTGTACACATCCCATAGCAGCACCTGGCAGTCGTCGGCTCCCGAAGCTAGAACACCACGCCTCGTAGGCGACCACTCTATGGAGTTCAGGGAGCCTCCGTGGCCCCTGAGTTCGAGAAGAGCCTGTCCAGGATGTCTTACATCAAGGATACGAATGACGTTCGAGTCTTGCGCAAATGTGGCTAGCAAATGGGTATCGTGGGGAGAAGTTGCTAGTCTCAACAATGGCGGAGGGTTCGACATGGTCTGCTGCGCGAGCGTAGGGCTGATACGTCCTCCATTGGCATCTATCATACTTAATCAGCTTCACCAAACTTGCGAAAAAATGGTTCTGGGGGTGGAGGTTACCTCGTTCATCTTTCCCAGTGGGCTCGTAGATGATGGTGCTGTGCTCCAGACTGCGCAAATCGAACATGCGGACGCTACCGTCCTGTCCGCAGCTCACGAATACGTCAACACTGTTGGCGCAGAAGCGGACATCGTAAACCTCCTTATCGTGGGCAATCAATTGTGTCTTGGCCGTCAGCGACGGAATATCCCAAATCGTGCAGGTGGTATCGATACTGGACGTGATTATCAAGCTAGGTGAAACAGTATTCCAGTCTAGCGAAGTAAGCGGTGCAGTATGATCCGGGGTCTTGGAGTTGGACAGAAGCGCGAGAGGCGTGAGTTTCGTAACGGCGGGGTCTCTGGCTCGGTTGGTAATGGAGTTGCTCTGGGAGACAGGGCTTTCGGAGGGAAGAGACCACAGGCGAAGGTGGTCTCCCGACGTCGCGAGCAGGTCAGTAGACTGCTTCTGCGAGGAGGGCGGTTCCCAGAGCAAGCGCGTCACAGGGTAGGAATGTGTAGCCTCGGCGACTTTTTGAAATTCGAGGTTAATTTTGGGGGTGCCCGGCTGGTAGACATCGTTGGGCGTCGGGACCATTTGGGTATCGAGGATTTGGATCTAGAGGGAAGCAATAGTGTTAGCTACACCCAGCTATCAACATCATTGCGACGGAATTCTTACGTAGTTGTGTCCATCTTCTAGATAGCTGCCAACGGCAAGCTTCCCAGCACCGTTGCCCTGGGGAGGCCACTTGCACCAGTCGAAAGCATACAGGGCCCAAGGAGCGAGATAGTTGCTGGTTCCAGGTTGCGCGTTGGCAAGCTCATATGCAGCGCTACCGGGCACGCCATCGGACATGCTCGAGTCGGCGCGGGGTCGAATATCGGCCAAGCCCAAGGGGGTGTTCGAGATGTTTCGCTGGGAGCCGGGCGCATTGTACTTTTGGTCTGGCGGAGACATGAACTGGGATCCAGAGCCGCTGGGGGTAGTGGGTGTGTAGGGCGCAAAGGACGAGCCACCTTCGTATCCGGCAGCAGGCGAGGAGCGCGAGTAGCTGTGGGACAGGCTCAAGCTGGGAGGCTTGGAAGGTGTCTGATAGTCTTGCTGCTGCTGCTGAGGCTGCATGGCAGACATACTGGGAGCGGTGTTGGCAGAGATGGCGGGAGGTCGACCACCTGCACCACCTGGTTGCAAGACGTTGGGCACCGACGATGTGCTCTGGTAAGGCGGCGCCTGGGGGTGGGAGTTTGGGGAGGACTGCTCCAGCTTGATATGGGGTGCGGCGGGGGCAGCAGAGGATGATGAGTATTCGCGGGGTGAAGGCTGGCCGTGCTGGATCATGCCCGCTGGCATGTGCAATTCGTCTGACTGGGAGCTATAGGTGCCAGTGCGTCGCGGGGTGCCAGTTTGGAACTGGGGTTGCGACTGCTGCGGCGACTGCTGCTGCTGCTGTTGCTGTTGCTGGTTCATGGCTGCGAGAGCAGAGGAAGAAGATGGCGAGGAGGATGAGGAGGGCGTTGGCGCGGGCAGCAGTGTGACGGAGGGGGAAAGGCCCGGCGGCCCTGATGTCTGAGTCGCAGTGGAGTGGGTAGGCAGCGAGTTGGGAGAGTCTCGGTGCAGCTGCTGGCCATGGGCCGGAAGCAGAGCGGCGGGGATGGAGGCACGCTGCTGGTTGTGCTGGGAGTGGGACTGGGAGCGGGAATGGGAGAAAGGAGGGATATTGGAGGAAGAGGAAGGCGGGTGAGAGGAAGAAGAGGGAGAGTAGGGGTTGGACTGGGAGTAGGAGTGGGAATACGAATGGGAGTGAGAGTGAGATTGAGATTGAGATTGAAAGTGAGAGTAAGAATGAGAATGAGACTGAGAGCGTGAATGGGAGGACTGATGAGGCTGGAGGGCGCGGGCGGAAGCGGAGTCGGTCGCTGTTGTGGGCGTACGAGTGGCCGCGGCGCTGTTGGTGGTGGTGTCGCTAATGGTTTTGTTCCTATTGTTCGGCGTGTTCTGGTAATAGTCGTTGTCCCAGTGGAAGTTGGGGACGGCGGGGGGGTCTTTGGGCACTAATGGCCCAGGCGCACCAGCGGCGACTGCTGTTGTTGTGGATGCGGACGTTGAGGCCGGTGGTGTCGAGGTTGAGGATGACTTCAAGGCTTCCGGGGTGTATTGAAGGGAGGAAGTAGTGGAGGGAGAAGCGAGCCCGATGCCGAGCCCGGCGTGAGGAGGACCGCCTGAAGGATGTGAGTGGTGGTTGGGCTGGAAGTAGCCAGACTGTCGTTGTTGCTGTTGCTGCTGGTGTTGCAGTTGTTGCTGAGAATACGGCGAATATTGCGATTGTTGCGACTGCTGGGAGTACACCGACGACGAGTAGGAAGGTACCGGGTTGGGCAGCGGTGGGCGGGTGTGGCCAGCCGTGGTACCACTGCTACTACTACCTGTACCTGCGGTTGTACCTGCAGTTGGAGGGTCATTCAAATTGACATTGGCATTGGCAGTCGCATTGGAGGCTGAAGCTGCCGCTGCCGCTGACGCTGACGAAGCATTTCCTCCAGAGAGTCCAGACTCAAAGGTAGAAGAAGAAGGAGGACCGCCGGAACCTGGAGGGGAAGTGGTGGCGGCGGCAGCGGCAGCGGCCGGGGCTCCAATGGACCCCAAGGCCTGGGCCGCTTGCCAAAGAGCCGAAGACGCGCTTAGGCGATGCTGGTGGTGCGGACGCCATTGTTGCTGTGGCTGCTGTTGTGTCTCGGGGTCGATGCTCTGCTGCGAGGCTGTTCGACGATGGCCCAGAAAGTGCATCATGTTTTCTTCGGTTGAATTTCCCTCGTTGTACGACTCAAACAATGTGCGCGCGTGGGGTGGATGGGACGCGGGACGAACGAGAACCCAAAAAAAACAAAGCAACACAAAAAAGATGAACAAGAATGGCCACAACGACAACGACGATCAGGGAACTAGACACACAAGGGACGAGGGGGAAGAGAAAGCGACGCACACGGCAGCAGGACAGGGGCAGACGGTGGCAGTGCGGCGTGTCCACGTCCTCGGCATCCGCAGTCTTAGTCTTCCAGGTTGTCTGATCTGATGACTTGGTGAGAGTGAGAAGTGAACTTGTCCAGCGGCTGTATGCTCAGCTTCTCATCCGTCTAGCAACACATCCTTTACTTTGTAGGCCCGGCAGAAAACTCACGCGAGTTTACGGCGGCATCCCTCTGACTAATGAATGTCCGACTCGTTCATTATTGATGGGCCCTACCGACTGAATTGGACATGGACATGGACCTGGGCGTTGGGCATAGACGGACAACGGAGACACGGAGACGCGGTTACAGACGCCGCCGGGGATGATGGCAGTAAGGAAAATAGAGCCAAGGCAGGCGACTCATCTCATTAGTTGATTGAAACTTTGAGGAGAAAGTGTCCATCATAAGAAATTGCCCGTCGCCGCGGCCATCGCTTGCACAATAGATATGAAAAGACACCCAACAATGGCAAGACTATGAGACGCGCAAAATACCGTGTTCTGGGGAGCCAGACGGTGCTCAATTTCTTGATCAAGCACATGGACACCAGCTCCAGAGAGAAGCTCTACGCATCACAGTGTGTCTCACTCTCGGTAGGCAGAAGACGCAGACAGATTATATGAGCAAGAATCTTTTCTCGGCCGCACTGACTGGGCCTCATACTTCCCGTTCTCCGTTTGTTTGGTGAGCTGTATGGATAATAGGCAATGTTGAAAGGATTATGTTCCAACATCCAACAGCAATGGCATCGTCCAATGGCGCATTCCCACATACATGCTTATCGATAACCAAGATGTCGAGGCCGTGCTTACATAAGGCCGGCAAGTAGCTTTTAGGTAGGTACCTACTGTGTAAGGTATGTGCCTGGTGCTACAGATGGTAGAAAGACCCGCCGTGTGACGTCTGTCTCGCACCAGCGCCTGTGGCACATGCTCAGAGCTCGTGAGCTCTTGCTTCCCGAGCCAAAGATACTTTTTATTTGGTACCTTCACAGCTGGCCTCGCGCGCTCCCATCGACGACATTGCTGTGCTATGTCCTATAGATCTCATACATTACCCATAGCATCTTGCCGTATCCCACGTCCAACACTCATCACCAATGCCTACTTGTTGTTATTGACATCCTATTCCTTTAGCTAGAGCGCATACATACTTGATCGTGCCTCTGAAAAGCACGCTCAGGAACCTTGTCAACCACGACATTCCTGGTGACCGCCCCATCGCCAGCCAATTCTCCCACTTCTGCCCAGCAGCGTCAGATGCGACCTGATGGCATCCGGTTCGCACAGTTTCCTCGACCGACTCTCACCGAGCCGACAACGATCTCCCATTCTACCACTCTACACATCCCGACCGAAGCCTTCAGATGACTACGACCTCGATGATCTGTCCCCCAGACCCGATGTATCGCTGCTGTCAGAGTCGCCTCCGCTGCCCATCAAAATGTCGAAAGGGCGCTCCCCTTCCCCCGTAGATCCATGGGACGACGACCCTTTTGGTCCGGCGGGCTCCGTCTCCAAGTTGAAGCCGAAGGCCATGTTCGTTGGCCCGCCGCCGCCCATAGCTACCTCGGTGGTGTTGCAGCCCTCCGCATCGTCGGGGAGGCGGGGATCCCGAGGCAACACACACAAGAACGAGGCCAAGAGCATGTCGTCCAGCCGGCTTGCGTTTGGGAGCATTCTGTTCGACCATAGCTCGCGCGACTCAAGCAAGTCCCGCGTTGACTCTGTCTGGCGGAATCTACAACACCGAGAACGAGCTCTCCACAAAGAGGTACAGCGATTACTAGACATACAAGCCACAAGACTTGGATCCGGCGCCGAGTTTCTCGATGCTAGCACTGTAGGAGCTGAGACGTGGAGTGATTCTGGGAGTAGTACGCCAACGGGAACGTTCTATTCCACAGCGACGTCCAGGTCACGCATGATGGCCTCGCTAGACCCACCCGTACGCGCGACTCCTCGCGGCGATATTATACCTGTTCGACAACCCAAGGTACAGGGGCAGCAGGGCCTTCGTGCGGCGCGAAGCGGATTGCGACAGGCGTTGGCAGCCCTGACTGGTCTCAAGACGGAAGAAAATGCGTATATCGAGTCAGCCCTCTCTCAACGAAGAAAAGCTTTGTCGTATCTAGACAAGTTGGACAAGCGCAGGGTCAGCATCTCTGCCGAGTTGCATAGCTTGGCTGATGACGATGAGGAGCCTCTCGCAAAGGAGCTGCGAGGCCTGGGAGAGCAGCATGATTCTTTGGGTCAGGAGATACGCGAGCTCGAGGAGAAGCTCGTTGGTATGAGGAATCGGCACCGATGGCTGGAGCGAAAGATGGAAGACGTTCACAACCGCCGAGAGGCGGGCTTGAGTGGCTACAGGGGTGCGTTGAGGGAGGTCGAAGGTGAGGTCACAGCCCTCCTACGCCGGCCTCCGATCGAGCCCCTGGATCTAGATGTTGTCGAAGCTGTATCACGGAACGACTCTGGAACCGGAACCGACATCCAAGAGCTGCCCGGTGGTGCTGAGTTCTTCCGCATGATACCTGCGCGACGGACACTGAGCATGGCCAAGGACTGGTGGGAAAGTGAAATGGACTTTCTCCAGAAGCGAAAGGCGCAGATCGATAAGGATCGCGATGCGCTAGATCAAGGCACGGAGTTATGGCAGGAAACGGTGAAACTCGTTACGACATTCGAGGCAGACCTGCGCCAGTCTCTAAGCGGCGGTGCTTCCTCGGCCAAGGGCAAACAGACTCCTCGTGCACAGCAAGAAGGCGTTGAAGCTCTCTTGCCGCGGATGGCGAAGGTAATCTTGGAGCTTGAAGCAAACATGAGGACAGCCCAGCAGAACACTTGGAATCTTCTCATCTGCGCCGTTGGCGCTGAACTCGAAGCGTTCAGAGATGCCGAGGCTCTCCTTCGAGGAAGTCTACCAAAGCCTCAAGCAGCGGCGACGAAAGTTGAGGACATCGAAGAACCCTGGCACAACGGCGATGACCAAGAGGCGCAAATCTCGCAAGCGAATTTGGCCACAGCTACGACAGAAACCCATCACGGAGAGAGTGACAATGAGGTCCCGCCCGACCTGCTAGTGTCACATCTAGAAGAGCACGACGACGACCGTTCCCATGTCGGGTCCATACGAACTTCGTCTTCGAGGCGTGACAGCGACAATGAGGTTCCTCCAGAGTTCCTTGCCGAACACAGCAACGATGAGGGTATAGACTGATATGAAGGTGCCATGACTTTGTATGCGTAGCATTTGTAAAGGGTATAACCCCGATGTCAGCTGTGCCTCAGTAGCTTCCTGTGCTACCAAAGCAGATGTTACTGAAGCATGCATCTTTTGACACGTAGTTCTTACACTTTTGGGAAATGAATTATGTTTTTTGATTGGGCTGGCAAAGCTGGGTACAGCAGGCAGGACAGGATACCCCGCAGGCCATGATTTAAGCCGGCGTTGGCTGGGGTGTTAATTAGTTGGAACTTCTTATGGAGCAGTCTGTTTATAGCCATCCACGAATTGACTTTTTTGTCTCTCTCCATAATGCCACCTGCATTCATAGTCTCACATCATAGGGCTAGGATTCGTCAAGCAAGGGAGCTATGGCGCACGAAAGGAGCTGCAGTGGCAGACTGTGGCGCATTGGATTTGGACGGTAACCTCGGCTATGGCCGCTGTCCCGCGACGAGGACAATCCCGAAAGTGGGGTCCACAGGTCCGGTGGTAAGGATTTACACGGGGTAGCCCGGTGCCCAAAGGGAGACTTTTCGCAATGATAAAACCAAGAGTTCGCCGGTGAAGGCTCGGTTTCCTGTTCCCCAAGGTACAGTTAAAGAAAGTGCGCCCCGATCTCGCCCATAACGCCTGCACGCAGAGACGCGAGTCTGCTTCTTCGAGATTCCGATAATCAGCGATTTCAGCACACGAGAACACCCGGTTCAAGATCCGCCGATACCCTTGGATTTACACCGCCCGGGAACGGAACCTCCCCATACCGATTTCTTCCGAGCAGTCGCAGAGCGTTTCCAGCATCGCACTGCGGCAACAAATGGCCTAGTGAATAAGGTTGTAGATGAATGAACAAGGGGAGATTCGACTCCAGATCGTCATTGAGAACGGCGGCCGGGATTCGTTGGAAAACGGATATACTGGTGTTGTCTCGATCTCGATGTCTCGATTTATCGCCTGCGTTCGAACCAACCGCTGGAGCCGGCAATTGCGACCGACTGATCCATCACCCACTCGCCGACACCGAGATACTTCTCGATCCACTTCGTCATGTCCTTGTTTTCGCCGGCAGCTCTGTCCGTCTTGAAACTGGGTCTGACGATTCCCAGATTGGGCACATGTTAGCCGCCGCAGAGTCTTGTCTTTGTCGTCATCGAGGGCAGAGATCCAGTATTCGCATCGGAATTTCGAGAAAGTTAACTCACGTCAGGCCGGTCGAGCGCTGCATACCCGCGAGGAAGGCGGAGACTAGGAACGACCCAAGAATTAGCGAACCGATCGACTCGAGATTATGCATCCAACAGTAGGACAACCAAAGAAGAGTGGCTGGGGAGGGGACTTACAGAGCACCGCATCGAATGCGTAATGAGTCAAACGTCCAATCTTTGACCAGAGGCCCAGAGTCAGCAAGTTGAGGAGCTAGGGAGGTGTTAAGACTGCGCGAGCAAATCTCCAAGCTAATGTAGGCAGCGAGGCGAGCCAGAAGCACTCGCCAGCAGCCCGGCAGGGGAAAAGGCTGGACCAACCATTTTGGTGCAAGTTGTTGAAAAGGTCTGTCTGATTCGATTTCCTTTGTCGCTTTTTCTACGCTCGATGACGTTGCTCTGTTCGAGTGTTTCTTGTTATCGTTGCCGTCGTCGTCTCGTGGTTGTTGCAGCGTTCTCTCAAAAGTCAAAAGGCTGGAGTTCGAAAGTTGTTGGTCATGAGACAAGGCTCGCCTGGCGGTGGCAGGCACACTGGAGCAATTGGAGTATGATCCCTCCCCCAGCTGACTGGCTGTGCTGTCGAAGTGGACTGTGCACACCTCAAAAGCAGCCTTAGTGCCTGAGGCTTTAAATCTCTTGTCTTGATATGATAAGGTGCCTAGGTACCTAGGTGCATGTCTTATCTTATCTAAGGCACGTTACCTTCGGTTGATGGACTGAGGTTTCCCTCAGGTGCATCGTCGAGTGTCGTATCTTCAGTGGGAGTCAAAGTCTTGCAAGTGCAAGGTCGATTAAGCTCATCCTCGCGTGGCTTCAAGTGGAGCAGCATCGCTTTTATGGCTTGCCGACCATTATCTGTCTTACCGTCTTCGATGTACCCCAAGTCTCATGCCCAAGGTACCCTACCTGGGGGTTTTGAGTGCTTCATTTCATCTCTCGGATGGAGCTCTTCATGGCAACATCAGTTTGCGGGTGTCACTCTTGTAGCACAACCCCTGCAATGTAATGAGGGAAATAGAAGCAAGAAGCGCGACTCGGACCCGAACCATCGAGACGGTTTGAATCGCGTCACCAACAAAGCGGATTAGCCGGAGCTCGGATGGGGGCCTGGACTTGTTCTCCTCCGCGGCACAAGTGGAATTGTCCGACGGTGCACCGGCGGTGGCCCACCTGTCCTTGAGATGGTGAGATGGTCATTGGCCGGATGCGGATGTTGAGAGGTTGGAGCTGCCCGGAGCTGACAGAGTCATGGACAAATGCATTGTCGCCATTTGCCATTTTCATGAGAGGTGCGAGGCATTGCCAAGGTGCAAGTGGGCCAGGGGACCTCTCCACTCCGATACTCTGGCCTGGAGACTGGAGAGAGACCCAGCGGCCTTTCCATTCATTGCAGTCCCAGGATGGAGGGGCATATTTTCACGGAGGGGCTCTTTGCCGTTTTTCTAGGTGACATGGATGCGTTCCATTTTCCATTTTCTCGAGGGGTCGGGCGTCCGGGCTGGTTTGCCGTTTGGCAAAGGAAGTTAGAACCAGAGGTGGAAGCTCAGACCCGGAGCCAAAACTAAAAGAGCCATAGGAAATGTGTGGTCTGCTACCGCCGCCGCCGCCGCCCGCCGCGGCATGGGCTTCTAGTTTGTTGAGTGTTTGAGGCTTTAAACAAATCGGGCAGCTCAACTCGCCTCAGACTCGACTCAGCCCAAGGGAGCTTGGTCGGAGCTCCGTCGCAGAATGGAAGCTGCACCAGTGTGCAACAGACTGTCAGATGGATGCAAGTGCATGATGGGCACGAAGTAGTGGGAGATGGTGAAGCAAAATAAAACGAGAAAATACCCGAAGTTGGAGCTAGACAGTTGGATGTTGCTGGATCCAATGGAAGCGACGGAAATCCCTCACTGTCACCCATTTTATCCGGCCATCACTCCAGGCAGGTCCTCCCATCATTCGATCCTCTTGCGCTCTCACTTTCTCTTCCTACTATTCACGGCGTCATTGCTGTTGCTATTACTCTCATTACGTCTACGGAGTACTGCCCAGCTCGATAGGCTCGAGCGTTGGAGAATAAATAGCACGACGTACGGATATACGGTACGGATACTCGGTGAGTGGATCATTGCCGTCGTATCATTGCATTGCGTTGCGTTGATGGCCCCTTGGATGTTTCTGTTGTGGTTTCCAGTTGGCATCTATTTATTTTCTTGTTTACCGTCTGGTGAAACCACGCTGTTTTTCTGGGCTGGCCTGACGTCCGGACCTCACCTCACCAGGCTCACCTCACCTCGCATCACCCAATCTTGGGGCGCCTCACCATATCCCGGGCCGTTTTGGTATGTGCTATTTGCGTAAACCTTGTTCGGGCCGTGGGCTTGTTCCTTCATTGGCCAAGCGTTTCCAGTTGGTGGATGAGCATGTCAGAGTGAGGTGAAAAAAAAAAGGTGAGATGAGCAAGAGAGGAAGCAGGAACACATTCAATGCTCCAATGAGAAGGTCCTGGTCATGCCCTTCTGTATTTCCTTCCGTCGTCTCTTTTTTTCTTGGTTGCCGTGCCTCAACATTGGACGGCATGAGATGGCAAAAAAAGATGGATGAAAGTGGGAGGTGCCAGGCTGGTGCGAAGCGCGGGACCCTGAAGCCTCAGCTTAGGTAAGGCAGGTAAGGTAGGCGTACCTATGGCAGGGTACCTGTCACCGCAAGCTCCTCACATTGGTGGGGGGCCCAGTCGCTACTGCCAAAGCTGCACTTTGCCCACTTCAGTTCCATTGCTTCCATTTCCAATTCTGGCAGGGATTGGGGGGAAGGTGCGTGGGTGCTTGGGTGCTCCCCTCCTGCCATCCGGCCACGGACCAAAGTGCACGGACCACTCCGTTGGATTGAGGGGCAGCTACGCTCCTCAGCACCTTCTCAGCACCTTTCTCCCCTCACCTCACCAAACGGGGGTGGTGCCGGCCGGTGCAGGGAACAAGTTCAACGAGGGGCAAAGCGGCGGCCACCCGGGCAGACTGAGGAAGAAAAAAAAAGAGGGAGAAAAAAAAAAAGGCGCCGACACCACCGCCGACGCAGGCCACAGCAAATGGAAGCAGCAAGCAGAGGATGGGGAGTGCGCCGCCGGGCAGCTTCACACTTCACTTGGGTTTGTTTGGGCCAGGAGCAAATTGTTTCTCGTCCCTGCTCCTCGTGTGTCTCTGCCTCTGCCCGTCTGAATGTGGTCTTCAACAAATACCTAGCTGAGGCTGATGCTCAAATACATCATCTTGTGCATAAACCTGCATTGGCTTGACCACCCCCAAAAAACAAAGAGTCTCACTCGTCAACCTCGTCGGTTTGGATGACCTTTTTTTATCGTATTTTTTTTTATTAGTTATCTCTCCCCTTGGCCTTACGTACCTTGCCTGACCTTGCCTTGACCTCTCCCTCTCTGTGTCTTCTCTCTACCCACCCCCACTCCCAGCAGGATTTAACAACCGCATTAGACCCCTCCTCCTCTTCTTCCACACTCCTCCCTTTCGCCTCGACCATCCTTAAGTAGCACACTTCTCCTCTGCTACATCTATTCTCCATCCTACGGTGATCGACTTTTCCTATCAACTCCCCTCATCACCCGTCCAAACCCATACCTATACATCTAGACACAATGGCTGCTACCGCCAAGGATCATCTCGATGTCGGCGGCAAGATCGCATGGCTCTCCAGCCTCGATACCGCCTACCAGCCCGAGAAGAACTACCGCCGTTCTTCCATCATCTGCACCATTGGCCCCAAGACCAACTCCGTCGAGGCCATCAACGCTCTGCGCAAGGCCGGTCTGAACGTTGTTCGCATGAACTTCTCCGTAAGCTCCCCCAACCCCATCACAGACGCTAAAAGTCAACCCCCACCAAAGTCTGCCTATCTTGCTAACCCCTCGCTTCTGAACAGCACGGCAGCTACGAGTACCACCAGTCCGTCATTGACAATGCCCGCGCCGCCGAGAAGGCTCAGCCCGGCCGTCAGATCGCCATTGCCCTCGACACCAAGGGCCCCGAGATCCGCACCGGAAACACAAAGAACGATGAGGATCTCCCCATCTCCGCCGGCAAGATCCTGAACTTCACCACCGATGAGCAATACGCCACGGCTTGCGACACCGACAACATGTAAGCTCTTCTCTCTCTCAAAGGCTCTCCCCATGGCATTACTAACCGCTGTTTTGATAGGTACGTCGACTACAAGAACATCACCAAGGTCATTGAGCCCGGCCGTATCATCTACGTCGACGACGGTGTCCTCGCCTTCGATGTCCTCAGCGTCAAGGATGACAAGACCGTCGAGGTCCGCGCACGCAACAACGGCTTCATTTCCTCCAAGAAGGGTGTTAACCTGCCCAACACCGATGTCGATCTTCCCGCCCTTTCCGAGAAGGACAAGAACGATCTCAGATTCGGCGTCAAGAACAATGTCGACATGGTCTTTGCCTCCTTCATTCGCCGCGGCCAAGACATCAAGGACATCCGCGATGTTCTCGGCCCCGAGGGCAAGCACATCCAGATTATCGCCAAGATTGAGAACCGTCAAGGCCTCAACAACTTCGAGGAGATCCTCACCGAGACTGACGGTGTCATGGTCGCCCGTGGTGATCTCGGTATCGAGATTCCCGCCGCCGAGGTCTTCGCTGCCCAGAAGAAGATGATCGCCCTCTGCAACAGAGCCGGCAAGCCCGTCATCTGCGCTACCCAGATGCTCGAGTCCATGATCAAGAACCCCCGCCCTACCCGTGCCGAGATCAGTGACGTTGGTAACGCTATCACCGACGGTGCCGACTGTGTCATGTTGTCCGGCGAGACCGCCAAGGGCAGCTACCCCAACGAGGCCGTTTCCGAGATGCACGAGGCCTGCCTCAAGGCCGAGAACACCATCCCCTACGTTTCCCACTTCGAGGAGATGTGCACCCTGGTCAAGCGCCCCGTCAGCGTTGTCGAGTCATGCGCCATGGCCGCTGTCAGAGCTTCCCTCGACCTGAACGCTGGCGGCATCATCGTTCTCTCCACATCCGGAGAGTCTGCTCGCCTTCTGTCCAAGTACCGCCCCGTCTGCCCCATCTTCATGGTCACAAGAAACGCCTCCGCATCCCGCTACGCTCACTTGTACCGTGGTGTCTACCCCTTCCTGTTCCCCGAGGCCAAGCCCGACTTCAGCAAGGTTAACTGGCAAGAGGATGTCGATCGCCGCATCAAGTGGGGTGTTGAGCACGCTTTGGAGCTCAACGTTGTTAGCAAGGGTGACACTCTGGTCGTTGTCCAGGGCTGGAAGGGCGGCATGGGTAACACCAACACCCTTCGTATCGTCAAGGCCGACCCCGAGCACCTTGGCATTGGAACTTTGTAATGGATTGGATTGCGGACGAGGAATGAAAAAGAGAAGAGAGGCCCGTCGGCGAGCGGGAGATACCAAAGTACCTAGTAAACCGTGATAGACGATGGTGGACTATACTGTCCAGCACACACGAGTATGATTTGCAAACATGAATAAAGTTGATATCACCTTCCAAGAATCTTCCTCGAAGCGATTACCTGTGCCGAAGTCCATCCGAAGTTGGATGATGAATCAATCAATCAATCAGACGAATCTAAGCTGTCGCGGGGCGCCCAGAATGACGGGCCCAATGAGACGACATCTCCGAGACGGAACGAAATGGCGGCGATTACATTGCAGCCTACGGTACTTCATCAAGACACGATCACTATCGCCCCGTTCCAATCACTAACAGTTCTGCCGGCGGAATTGAGCAGACGGGAAGATATCCAGCGGAATGAGCTTGAGACACAAATACGACGGACCATTAATAACCACATGAAGTCTCTCATGAGTCTTACGATCAGCAAAATGGAAGCCCAGAATGAAAGAACAATATTTAAGGATCCATCCATGCTCCGTCATCGACACACATCAAGACAATGTCATCTTCACTTGAGTTGTTTGATAATATGCATTGGGTATGTCTATTAGTTCTCCCGTTTCCTACAACTGGGGGAAGGCTTCCCCCTGGCGTGATCAATTAAAGCGGCATCTACAGGTCTTTGAGCTCGAAACGCTTGCGCAAGTACTCGCCATACTTCATGATCAGCAACGGCACAGGTAACATGGCGGCAGCGATGAAACCGAGAATACTACTCGCCCAGCCAACGCCCAAGTTCTGGTTCATCTTCAGGCCCGCAAGAGGTAGTGTTGCTCCCGCCACGGATCTCACGACAGCGTTGGCGGCGAGGGCCGAGGCGGCGTAGATGGTGAAGGCGTCGACGAGGTACATCTGCAGCGCCATGAAGATGATGAGGTTACCGATGCCGACGATGGCCGTGCCCAGGATGGGCACGAACCAGTGGATATGGTACTCGGCCGTCCAGCCGTAGATGAAGAGACCCGCGGGGAGGAAGACGGCGCCGGCGGGGAGGGCGACGAGGCGGTATTCGGGCTTCATTCCTTCGCGGACGGTGCCTGCTTCGTCGGCTGCGGCGTCTGCTTCGGCGGCTTTTCTCTTAACGTACTTGTCCGAGGAGAGGCTGAAGAAGACGACGCCGATCATGGAGCCGACGCCGAGGCCCATGAAGGCTAGGCCTGATGTGCCGGCGCTGAAGCCGTAGGTTCCCATGAAGACTGAGGTGATGGAGGTGAACATCAGGTAGAGGTAGCCGTAGACTACGGCGATGTAGAGGCCGCTGTTGCGTGTGTTAGTTCAGAGGAGGGAGACAAGACTTGGCACAGCATGATGAGGATTGGGTTACGTACAAGATCTGGGTGATTGGGGAAAAGGCAATCATCTTGATAGGGCGGATGATGCCTCGCTTGAAGTAGTCGGCCGAAGAGAGGCCAATATCGAGTTTCGACCGCAGCAGAGGGTTCCCCGTCTCTTTCTGAAGTCGCTTCACCTTCCTGTCAAGGATGATGGGCGCGTACGTCTCCCTCGAAAAGATGAGCATGACGATACTCAGAACCCCGCTCACAATTACAATAAGCCAAAAGACCCATCGCCAGCCAGCCGCATCAGCGAGGAACCCTCCCGCCACGGGGCCGATGATGGGACCCAGTAGGGGCCCGATACTAAACGCCGCCATGGCCGCCCCGCGCTTCTCCTGGCGGATCATGTCGGAGATGGAACCCGCGCCGTTGGTGATGGGTGCGGAGCCGAAGACGCCAGCGAAGAGGCGGAAGACGATGAGGGCGTTGAGGGTAGGCGCGAGGGCGGCGCCGACGTTGAAGCAGATGAAGAACAGGTTGCAGACGTGGTAGACGATTGTGCGGCCGTAGATTTCGCTCAGGGGCGCGCAGAGCAGGGGTCCGGCTGCGAAGCCTAGGACGTAGACTGCGCTTTGTTGTCAGCACGTTTTGTTTCTTTCCGGTTGATCTGTACGATGGGATGGTAAACAGAGGTTTAAAGGAGCGTTCATACCGGAGACGACAAAGGCAGCTAGATAGGGGCTGTTGTTGTGAAACTCCCGCATGAGGTCCGGCACGCCGGGGGCAAAGATGGAAGACGCCAGTGGTGTGACGAACGTCATGGCACTGATCAGGCTACAGTTGAGGACCTTGAGCCAACTCGGCCAGTTGTACGGATTCGCCGGGTCGTCCGGGCCATCCCACCAGACAATATTTTCGTCTTCGGAGCTCTCGCCGCCGTCGCCGTCCTTCTCTGTCGTACCGCCAACACCCATTTCCACGTCCTCGCGCCCCATGGACTTGCGAGATCTCGTCCGAGCCAGCGCGAGCGACTGCTTTCTCTTCTCCTCGCCGCGTTCGTCGAGGACGTAGCCCATGCTGGAGGGTATGTCGGCATCGTGGCCCTCTGCTAGGGCCTCTGCCGTTTTCTCTTCCCTTGTGGGTTCGCGTTCCAGCCGGTAGAGGCCTCTTGTCTCCTTGTCGTCATGAGATATGCTGTTTGTCGTGGCTCCTTCTTCCGCGGAGTGGCGCGGCTCTTTTGTTGGTGAGGTCATTGGAGCTTTGAGAGTACCCTGCCTTGATGTTAGTTCTGATGACCACTTATACTGCGTCCCTGTGCAGCTACGTAAATGCCAGGAGTTGCGACAGTTGAGAAAGCAAAGGCTTGGCATTCCGCATTATTATCCGGCGACTTGGCGTGCAAAGCCGTGGTGTCTGTGTTTACATGCTCCCCGAATCACGTAGAATGATCTTGGATCTTTGTGTAAGGAAAAGGGCAGACTTGCCTAAACTACCTTTTATGTCTAGGAAGGCCTAGATTCGCAATCTCTCGCGAGGACCGACGCGTGGAGATTTACTCGAGAAAGTTGGTTTTCTAACTTTCAACGGGAGCTTCAGATGAGTTGTTCTATGGGAACGGTTGACTATTGTATGTAGTTGGAGTCAATTATAGTCAAGAGGATATCGTGATTTCAAGTGTAAGGTAAGAATTGGTACAGCAGTCAAGAGACTGCATATCCGCCAAAGAGTCGCTCAACAGGAAAAGAAGCAAAGAACAAGCAGCAACCTAGAGACAAGAGCCATGGACCCCTGTGCCTCTTAAACAAACAGATATGGTCTGCCGCTGTCGACCGACCATCGCAACGGGGATTTGACTCGACCGGGTCAGACCACACTCCACACCACCCTTAACATGGGTAAACGCAGCCGAATACCTCAATCGGGGTGCGTTTCCCCCCTCTCTGGGGAAAATCAAAAAGGGAACGGGGAAGAAGAGGGCTAGAAGTTGTCAACTCCGACCCGAACCCCGTTCAAAGGGACTAGGGTTAAATTTGAAGCATTGGTTTGGCCGCTGGCGGCTCGTTTGGAAGGGGGGAAATGGGGTAACGAACTAACAACTTGCTGTGCGTTACATGGGTGCTGCAGCTCCCGTTGGAGCAAGCCCATTTCACACTAGACCAATGGCTTCATGTTACGACGCCCAACCGTTGGAGGGGATCATCCGAGCCATCACGGCGGCGTTCGTCCCCTTAAGCTTAGATGCGGGTGCCAATACGCTTGGCGAGATCTTTGTAGCCTCCCCTTCGATTGCCTGCTTCTGACCATCCTCTTTTCTATGCGTAAGACGTAAGGCGAGTGAGTAAATTCTCCGCTATTTCCGGGTTGTCTCGCTACCCTTTCACCGAGCAGCGGCGTATGGTCAGCTCAGAATGAGCATGCACCCCTGCATCAACCAACGAATAATCACACTTGAGTGAGAACGGCGCAGCAGACTCGAATTGTTATCTGCTTCTAATATTGTATGCAAGCAGTGAGCCTGCATACACGATAGGTGCAGTATATTGGCCGCGACTCCTCTTCGACATGGGACTACCATGGCCAGATCTATCCCCGGAGCATGACCGATTAAGCTCCCGGAAGATGCACGGAGCCGCGATCCACTCGGCGCCGAAGAAGCGGGTCAACCAACGATGTGCAACCGGGCATGAACAGCTGTAGAACTGTGTAGAGGATGTAAACTTGAACTGGAAACTGAACCCCGTGGAAATTGTTTCAATGCAAGTACGTAACAGTCCTTTGGTAATAACTGGATCTTGCTGGTTCCGTTTTCTACGGGCTTGTTTTGCTTCAAAAAGAACAAGGCGCCGAAACCTCAAATGAGAGGCAGGAGCGTAAGGAAGGAGATGAGATGAAAACCAAAGTATGCGTGAAGAGAGGCAAGAGATTTGAAGGTGAATACACATGGAGGTGAATACGCACTCGAGGCCTCAGTGAACCTTACCCTCACCCGAAGGGGAGAAAAATATCCACTCGTCTTCACCACCGACTGTCACTGAGGTGCACATCAACAACCACGCAACAGGAAATATTCTGCGCACCTTATCCTTGAGCCCTTCGGTTTACTTCACTTGAAGGGGGGAAAGAGGCCAAGCAGAACGACAAAAACAGAACAGATACTCGGGACTGTCAACCTGGCCGGCAGCATCGCTGCCATACCAGCAGAGAGTGAGTTTGACAAGCAAGATTCTCGAAGCAAGCACCTCAACCTCCTTGATTGCTCGATTCGTCCCGACGTAGAGAAAAATGAATGCTGATCATGCCACAGTGACGAAGCCGAAGTCAGCACTGACGAGAAATATCTCGACGCCATTGCCGTATCCCTTTCCCGCGGCCATACCCCCAAAGGCAGCCCGGACGCTGATGGAAAAGCCCAAGTCGGGATGGCCAGCCGGATCAACACGCAAGAACCTCCCGCCCTGGGATCGCTCGATCGATGTCGTCTATCACAAATACCGACGTGACCAGCCGGTGCCCGACAAGGCCACTGATTTTGAGAGATCGGTCGCAATGTTCTTCGCCGATCATCACCGAACGCAACAGCAGGAACCGACTTCTCCATACCTCAGACTTCCCGCAGTCGCACGCTTCCAGATATGCCAATATCTCATTGCCGACCATGAATCCGACATGCCCATCTGCCTCAACGACGGCCGTTTCGTGAGAGAGGTCTGGACTGACGATGAGTACACTTCACTAGCTACTGCCATGAGACCTCTGCAGCCGTACCTCGAAGTGTCTTTCGCTCTGCGCGCGGATATTCTGATTGCATTTCTCATGGGAGAGCGCTTCCACATCACCATGTCGCCTTTCGTGGGTCCCTACCTGAACCCTTTGGCAACACTGTGGTGTAATAAATACGGTCACTTCATGCAGCAGGTCATCGTTGAGCTCGACCTGACTCGATTGGGTTTCGGGCCAGGCAAGGAAGCCTGCAAGTTACGCGCAGGAACCGTTAATATGGACGATCTCATCGGGGCTTTTGTTAGAGGCCAATTGAAACGAAAGAACCATTCGACGCTCAAGAGCCTTGTGCTACTCTGCCGGAGATTCTGGGGTGAACGCCCTTCCGACCATCTTCCCCCAGGTTCCAGGTCTGCCAGCGAGCAGAACAACCAGGGAATGTCGACGGAGCCGGAACAAGTGTTCACACCCAAGCGATCGAGCTACGGAGCTGACTTCTCATACTGCCCTGATGAGTTCCTCAGAATCTGCGAGCCATTCGTGCGCCTAAATGGCTTGGTTGACTCGATGCGCCTCTGCGGTTTCAGCAATGGCTATACACATTCTCTGCTGCGCCGTATCTTTCCTGTTCCTGAGAGAAGCGAGGATATCAAGTACCATACGTACCGAGTGGCGCCTTCTTCGGTATGGCCGCGCATTCCCGGCCAAAAGTCGTGGGTCGACAAAGGATACGGTAAATTTCAGCTGGATGATCATTCTCGACAGTACCTGCGCGGCCTCTGTCTTCCAGAGGGAGCAGTAATGCTTACACGACCATACGAGAACCTATCGACTGGACGTATGTCGGTTGGATATGCGTCTAGAAGCATTGAAGAAACCTCAGAGAACGGCGACGCACGTGAACGTCCGGACAGCAGAACGCAACTGATCGGAAGGGCGTCTCAAGAATCGGTAGCAACGGATGAGGCGAGTCTTGAACACAGAATGCAGGTCCTAGTTCACAGAATGCGACGAAGCTTGTCAAAGAGAGAGGTTGATGCTGGTTCGCCGGCGTCCGCGACATCAGCATGGGCAATGTCGGGCTGGTCGTCTCGGGAATCAGAAGGGAGCTGCCTGGAGGATGGAACGATATCCAGAGCGACTATTTGAGAAGACACGTCTATATGACTGTCGCAACATGATGGCATTTCGGCGGACAAATGGGTGCAGTAGAAGACTGAAAGGAGAGTAGAAGTGGATGCAGATGACGTTTATTTTAATATCGTCGCTGAAGTTGGGTGGGAGAAGTTCGATGGAGTTGTTACTTTGTGGTTTGACGTCAGTGCAAGGTACCGTTGTACATAGACGTAGGTACGTATCCGTCCTCTGCTGCGGAAATGTGGAGAGAAAAAAAAAAGATCGAAAAAAGGAACCCCGCGATGCCTGGCTGCCCAGCGGTGCTCTGTTCGTCACTGCTGCCCCACCAACATCTTGAAAGCTTCCTCGTCCAACCCCTCCACGATCGTACACTTACCTCTCTCACCAATACTGAGCACGGTCAATTAGAAAAAAGAAGAAAAAAACCACCCACCACAATGTCTGCGCAAGTCCCCACCAACTTTGACGCCCAAGAGGCTGACAACCTCGAGGATGTGAGCTCGAACCCCTCCTCTCTTCGTGTCGCGAATGAAATGCGCTGACTTATTTTTTGCGTCCAGATCGAGAAGCAATTCGCCGTCAAGGGTACACACGCTGCCACTACCACCTCCGACCCTATTCACGATCGCGAGCTAACCGCCAGAACGTTCCTGTAGTTGTTCAGCACATGGAAACCTACTGGAAGATCCTTGAGAAGGTCAAGGGCTCCACGCTGCGCCTGACCAAGATCGATGACGAGATCTACGAGCACCTGAAGACCGACTTCCCCGAGTTCGACCCCGCCGCGACCATCAACGAGGACGAGATGAAGAGCAAGTCCGGCAAGGAACGGTGGCGCAAGTTCATGATGGCCTACGAGAAGAAGGTCGACGATTACAACTTTGGCACCATGGTCCGCGCCAGCCCCAAGTTCGAATACGGCCAGAACGAGGTCATTTTCGGTCAGTGGCCCCCCGCCGACCCTGTTCTGAACCTCGCCAAAAGGCGATTCTGGCTCGCTCATCTGCTAACTTGTAATACAGCGCCCCGCATGCAGTTCTACGCCATCGAGATTGCGAGAAACCGCAACGGTCTGAACGACTGGATCTACGAGAAGGCCCAGGCCGCCAAGTCTAGCTAAAGGAAATACTTTTTTCGACGATGAACGTCGTCTTGAGAAATGACGCTAAACTGAGATTGACTTGCGATACCACCTGTGCTTCGTCACCTCGGCCAGAAAGCGCTTCGCCCGAGTTGAGAGGCTATGGGCATGATCATCGAGCTGCGAATGGTCTCATGATTTCGGACGTAGTACTTCATTGAATGGTGATGCCACGGTCTCGACCTCGCGGTTGTATGATGCGTATAGCACTTGAAGTCCGGGTTCTGCTCTCACGCCACCATTCTTGGATGTGGCTTATGAGAATGCGACATCATGGGATCCGAGCATGTTGGTAAATTGAGTGTGGTACATACTTGAAACTGAGCAATATGCCAGGCAACTGAAATCGAGATATTCTTACGAGCCCCCTCATGAAAAGACTATATACACGCTGCAGATACTGCTGCTAGAGTCCGTGATAATCTGGAAGACCTATTCAAGGAGTTCCGCAGAGACCATGCTTAACGCTACACAAAAGAAGGCTGCGGCATTTCCGCCAGCCGTGGGAGGGAGATGCCGCCATGCAAAGAGCTGACGAAGACATAGCTATAGTGCCAGCCTTTTTCCCTTTTTTTTTCTTTTTTTTGGTCTCGAGGTTGTTTAATGGCGACTACTTGGATTGACCCATGGTGAGGTCGGCGGACGGCCTCGGAGAGAAGGTTCAGGCTCCAACATGATGGTAAGCGGATCTTGATAGAATGGCCATGCCCGCGAGGTGATCTGGAGAAATCCATAGGAGATGGATGGGCCCATGTTCGAGAGCTTGCTGTCAAAAATGCTGTAAGCTACAAGGACCAATAGATCTTGTAACCAGCTGATATCCAGCTAGCTGGGCCTGGCTCAGCAAGGGTGGTGTATCTCGATATTCCTCCACTCAATTTTCTTCGACATATTCAAGTGTAGCGGCTCTACCGTGAGGTTAGCTAAAGATATAATGTAAAGTGGCATTTGAAGTAGATGGTGAGCGAGGCCAGATAGATACCGGAACGAACAGAGAAACATCATTGAGCTTGGCTGTGGCGAAGACTTGTCATTTCGAGATTTGATGATTGTAAGTCTGTTTGACTTGGCGATGATGTTCCGGGAAGGTACCTAGGCAGAAGTGGCTCAGGGAGGACACTGTGGTCTATCATTTCCTCAGCGGATGGGTGTAAATGCAGATGTTCCATCTAGAGCTGCGAAGATACACATTTTATTGGCATGTGACGAGGGAAGAGGAAAATAAAAGTAGTATTTCTAGATGATATACAGACGGATGAGATACGAGCAAGTCCCAATCGCCTTGCAGGTGGTTGTTAAATCCAATGAGTTCTGGTGCTAGTCACGTACATTGTGGTTGTATCCATTTACTCTAATGAAGCAGGTACGTCAAAATAACCCAGACGATCGACGAGGCCATGATTGAGCTGTCTCGAGCAGATGCAATAGATGGAATCAAGGTAACTGCAGTAAAATGCAAGTCTTGAACGTGACTAGCAAATGCTATGCTATGAGTGACAAGATTGTCCATCAACCGCCTGTCTATAGTACCTTAGATAAGGCATCTCAAGTTGATGTTCAGCTTGAGGGCGGCGTATTCCCGCCTTCTCTAATTTGAGTCTATGGTTTATTCACTTCGTATCTCTTCTCAGATGAGTGTCGAAGAGGGAAGGTGCCTTCGAGTTCTGGATCAGCTTGCTCTTTCCACCTGAATCAGTACGGGCTTTTTGCCTTCCGCTTCCTGCCTTCCACTTTAACTATACCGCCTTTGCGATATTGGTTTCGAGGAAGGAGTAGGATTTGAGCCTTTTCTTTACCTCTTCGCCTCCTTCACACACACTTTTGCCAGTCGAAGATTTGGAATCCCATCACCCGCCTCAAATCTTTATCTTCACCTGTGGCTGGATTTTCCTCTCGTCTTCTAGCAACGGAGGCATGCTGCAGAAGATCGGCCGACTGCTTGGAGGGAGAAATATTCTTAGCGTTGTGGCCACACTTTGAGCTGCCTCAGAAGCTGAACTCAGACGCCTCGAACGTTGCATCCACCAGCGCCATCAGCTTCACTTTCGCATTGCCTCTGCGCTGCCACTCGTCTTCCCTGCAAAGAAGGTATACGACGAATGACCCATCTCAAGCAAGCAGCATTCGCACCTCAACAGCAACAACCATGGGCCAATTCACTTCCCAGCCCCGTGACGACACCTCGCCGCCGCCCGATCCAGTGCTCAGCCTTTCACAAGGCACAGGCGGCGAGCAAGGAATCCCCGTGATCACTCGTATCCGCACCGAAGGTGGTAAGACAGCTACTGGTAAGTCTGAGTTGTGCCTTACTCCCAATCTCCAAAGCCCTTCATTTTTAGTTCTTTCTAACGATGCATTCTAGTGACCATTACCCTGCAAGAGACAGCATTGACGTCGGCGTTGGCCTCGACCTCCACCATCTCCTCACTATTGCCAGTGATGACAACTCTGATGACTACACTGACACCTTCGCTGACTACCTCCACGCTCTCGTCTACCGAACAGAACACGTCACTGCCCAAGTCGACTGGTTCACCTGACCAGGAACCCCACGTCACTCTTTCCAGGAAGACATTGATTATCATCAGTTGTGCTGCTGTCGGCGGCTCTTTACTCCTCCTGTTCCTCATCGGCATGATTCACGCTTACGTGCGCCGAAGAGACGCGATCAAGGAAGATGCCAAGAAGGAGGCTGCTGGTGCTGGTGCTGGTGCTGGCATTCAGAAGCGTGAGCTGAACCAGTTCTCTCACCAGCCTCACCAGCATGCCAACGAGAATGGCAACAGCGTGGCCATGTCTCAACCAGCCGCACGTGCGTGCTCGGAGCCGGATCTGTACCAACACTTTCACCCGTCACACGAGGTAGCCAATGCCAGTTTCCGTACCCTCCCCGCCGCATACCCCGTGTACGAGCCGCATCCAGCACAGGTTGTCGCTGAGCTTCCTGCCGAGCCATGTGGCAGCGGTCTTCCGCATTACGGTTATCGAGGATAACCTAGATGGAGGGCCTTGGTTGAAATAGGTTCGGTAGCTTATGGTGGTAAGCATTGGGTCTAGGTTGGAGAACAGAAGTTCTGGATTCACTTGCATCGTCAAGTTGGGGACATATCATTGGCTGGATGGAGGGTCATGTAAGTAAGTCTCTTCTCCAAACGTTAATAATGTTGGTGGTCGTGGTGGTTTCGGAGAAGAGCTAGGTACCCGCACATTGCTGTCTTACGGCTTTTTTTCGGAATGCGATTTTGTCTCTCACATCTTTCACCGTTTTTTTGGATTATCATGTGTAGGAATTCCATACTTGGAAGGCGTGTAAGGTACGTACAAGGAGAAGAAGGACGGTCACATTAGCAGACGTCGACGGACTCGAGGCTACGACACCACGACTCAGGGCTTGACGGGAATTGCACGGTTTTGGGCATTAACCCGCTGCGGCCCATCGCCCACCCCCTCTCCAACTTTCGCTCGCAGTAACGTTCCGGCATGGCCCGTACGGGACGACATTGGCATCAAAGTATGGCCGTTACCAATACCGTGGTAATGCAGAGTCAGGGCCGTCGAGCCGAGCACGGGCAGATCTTCGTTGGTTCATATCTGCTCTTTTTGTGGCCGCCTTCCTACGTACGTTCTATATGGCAGACTCCTTAAGCAACTGACAGTCAGGTCTGTACATCGACTCTGACCAATTTACCCGAACCTGGGAGCAGTCTTCATCATCGCGAGGATGGAAAAAGTAGCCGATAACCGATCCATCTTCCTACATGACGCTGCTGGAGACTACGTACCATCTGGGGTATTTCCCCGGGAATAGAGCGGAAAAGAAGATAGATATACTTCGTTAGTCTGTATGCCACGCCGCTTCAACCCCAGATGG